CGGGAGCGGCCACTGCACTCCAGTCTGGCCGACAGAGTGAGACTCCACCTCAAAAAAAAAAAGAAAAAAAGTCTTTCCTTGCATGGATATATTTTTGTATATAGGTCTAACAATTCATTTTTAACTATTATTTCCAAGACTGTGAATATGGTCCCTAATTTTTAGTTAGTGCTTTTTCTTTCCTAAAATTCATTAGCATGAAATGGTTAGTCTAACAGGTATTTTTTTTTCTTCATAACCAAAAGGAAAAAGTTCACACAGCCTTATGAAGCTTAACATGTTTTCAAGAAAAAACGTATATCGATATTGGCTAATTGTGGTGTAGTCCTCATTGACTTAAAGAGGAAAATTAGATGCTTTTACAGGGGAAATTGATTTGTGAACAGGCAACATTAATTAGTGTAAAACGCATTACCTTTGTGAGGAAGACCAAAGTATAGTACTTCAGGGAACTTCTCTCTGTTTTCCTATGTTAAGCAAGGCTCCCATGAAGGAAGAGGATATCTTTTCATTATTATTCTGTCTTTTACTGGAAATACTATAGCAGCAGGGGTAGATATTGTAGTCTTCTCTTCCTTTGTCAAGGCATGTATGTTCACTGACCTATCCCTTGTCATTACACTGAAATTTTAACAGATGTTGACATCTAAGTGGTGATAGGACAACATTAGAAATTTGGATCAAACATTTTTAAATACTCCCAAGTAGGCATATAATAACTATATATGAGACAATTACTCTTTATAAACACTTGTTAACTCACAAATAAAAAAAGTCAAAGCCTTTACTGCTGGCAGGAGTGGGGAATCCAGGTTTTACTACAACATTATGCTTGTTATCTTGGGGAGAAACCAAGATAATTGCACACAGATCTTATCTCAGAGTCCTTATTGTCTAATATAAGGAGATAGGATATGCTTAAATAGCCATAGTATAGGATAGAAAATAGGCGTTACTAGGGAGCATTCATTAAGTGCTGTGAGCTTTGAGAGGAGGTAGAGCTAATTCATTTTCAGACATGGTGATTCATGTCTTGAGATGGGGAAAACTGGATATCAAGATGAGGAATTGTAGAGAAATACTGGCAAAAGGTGAGGAAAAAAGTGAGTATAATAAAGGGATTACTTATGTGGTTGACCGTGGAGTCTGATGTAAGGGAAGATAGAAGTAAGGGGGTAGCGGTAGGACAGGGTCAACAGAGAGTAATTAAGAGCCAAGAAACGAGACAAAACGAGTTTTGATGAGGACAAAACAGACTTAAGAGGAGAGATGGATGTGCAGATGGTGTGACTTGGGGAAAATTCATAGTACAAGGTTTTAGAAATGGAGCGATTCTGGGTGATAAGGCCCAGGGTATGAATAGGAAAGGTTTTCAGAAAGGAATGACAGTAAAGATTGATGATTGGAAAAGATCAGGAAGCTATTATGTTTCTTGGGCATTAATTCTCAACCTTTAGAATGTACTGTGAATCTTAAGAGAAACTGAAATATGTGTTAGAAATGCAAATTTCTGGACTACACTGGCCAATTTTTGACCCTCTGCTTTTAAAATAACACCCCAGAATCCTTATTTTTAGCAAGAGTCTTGGGTGGCCTTTAGTAATTGTTAGACCTTGTATCTCACTTTTAGAACCGCTGCTCTCAGAATCAGCTTTGAAGAAGTTTTTTAAGTTGCAGGTGCCTGAGTCCCCTACCCTACGACGATTCATTGGTCCCTTAATATCTGTTTCTATATTTTCGTTAAGGTTAAAAAAATAAATGTGGCTATAATAGTGATAAGATCTTATCTAGGCAGTGTTTTCTTAGGGGTAGGGAGCATGGAAAAGAGATTTGTGTCAAAATGACCTGGGCAACTTATTTAAAATGTAGTTTCCCAGGCCTTGTTTCAGATATTAAAAGTGTCTGAGGATGAGGTCCAGGAATCTACGTTTTAATAAACTCCGAAGTGTATGTTACACCAAGTATGAGAGCCTTGGTCTTTAGAAATATTATCAACATAGATTCCGAAGGACCTAAGATGTCTGAAAAAGACAGATGAACAAGAACATGTATTGACCCTTCAGGTGGTTGGGCTGGCTTGCCTACCTGCCTTTCTTCCTTCTTTTCTTCCTGTGAATGGTTTCCATGTCTTCATTAATGAAGGAACATAATTACAAAGTCTTGCTCATTTTTCACCCCTCTCCCAAAAGCCTGTCTTATTTAAGAGGCATTTATGAATCCATACTACCAAAACATAATGAGAGCATTATTTTGTCTGATACATACTAAATGCTCTCTGGTCTAACATATCAGGGTCCTAGCCTGAAATTCAGTGAGTAGAAATTGGATTGAGGTAAAAGAATGAAGTTAACTAGCCTGGCAGAGATACGAAGAGTTGCTTATATGAGTGCAAAATGGCTTCAAGTTTGGACTCTCAGGTACAAACACGAGGGAAAAAGGCAGGGCACAGAAGTGTTCCTCTCACGTTATTCCTCATTTTCAGTGACCCAGAAACTCTGTCACCATCCTCAGGAACATGTAACAGAATATCCTTTGTGTACTTTTCCCAAAACGTTACTCTCCCTGACCTCATTGTTTTGCAAATGCAAAAGAAAATAGTACATTCCCTTATAGTCTAGTGGACAGTATCCTCTCTGTGAAATGTCTTTCTTGCTGGATTTTCACTTGAACAGATTATCTGCCTCAATTGAGGCAAGGAAAAAAAAAAAAAAAAGATGTACCCATAATTTTAAGACCCCAACTCAATTATTTTATTTAAAAATATTTCCTTCCAGTATGTTTTCATAGGGTGTAGGAGACTATTAAATTAAAAGAAAAAAAGAAGGCACAGGAGTTTTTTTCTCTCATGCAGTTATTTCTTGTTCCTGGTGACCCAGAACTTGTTGTCCTGTCCTCAAAAGCCTGTAACAGAATATTCTCTGTATACCTCTCCCAAACAGTACTTTTCCTCTCTCCATTGTTTTGCAAATATGATAGACATCAAAGCATTGCTTTACAATCAAGTGGACTGGATTCTATCTATGACATATCCTGGCTTTTTAAAAGAGTTGCTGGATTTTTTCCTCTTAAATACTGAAAATATAAGAAAATTTTGGAAAGTACTCAACTATTTTCATAAAAACATCCTTTGTTTGAACATACATTGTTCTACATGATTGTGAACATAGACTTTCTCATTTTACTTTAAAAATTTAATGTGGAAAGATTTTTTCATAGTTACAATTTTAGTAATCTGATGATACTCCATCATTTTGATATACCACAATTTACACAATACACAGAACAACAACTTGTTCTACTCATAATTTTTCAAACAGAATCTTTTTGCTTGAAAAATTATGAGTAGAACAAGTTTTTTCTCTGAGGTAATTTCTGTAGGTTAACTAGATCAATAAATATATCATTTCTGTATTTCTTGGTACTTTGTCCTAGTTTCTTTCAGATCAGTTGTGATGCTGGGTGGTGTGTAGTGTGTTGTTCCATGGGTTCTTGATTTCACCACTGAAAAGAATTTCAGAGTGAGTCCAACATATAGTTTAAGAGAGAATTTATTAGAAAGAAAAAGACACATTCAAGGGATAACATGGGTGCCTTAAGAGTAAGGGCCTGTGCTCGCCTTTGATAAGAAACTTTATGTAATTTTGCAGTCATGATTAAGCAGACCATGAGCTAAGAGCAGAGGGCTGCAGATAGCTGGTCATGAGATTATCATCTTTCAACCTTTTAAGGTCACAAGGACCTTCTAAATAATGAAAAGTATTGCTTAATTAGATATTGGCTTTGCTCAGAACTTCGTGTCTGTGTTTTGGGTAATTCTGTATTGTTTCAGTGATTTTACTGTAATGGTAATTCTACATTCCAACCCACGAGGTGGTCAGGTCTGATATGCCTACTGGTTGTGTGAAGGTTATATACCCATAAGAAAGATACCTGATCACTTACCCTATTTTAATTTAGACCAGCCTGCAAGAAACTCATCTATGTCTAAGCTACATTGGCTACTCTGTCTCAATTGTATCTTTTTATAGCATTACCACAGTGTCTAACTTTGCCATTTTTACCACTGGTACAGAGTATTCCAATCTATTTTTTTCCTTTTTATTATTTTATACATTGACAAAAATTGTCTATGTTATGTATAACATGATGTTTTGAAATATGTATACATTGTAGAATGACTAAAATGAGCTAATTAACATATGCATTACCTCAATAATTATCATTTTTAGAACATAAAATTCACTCTCAGTAATTTTCAAGAATAACAATACATTGTTACTAACTGTAGTCACTATGTTGTACAGTCGACCTTTTGATTAACTTTTTTAAAAAAATAACAAACTATAAACAAAAACTTAATAGAAAGCAAAACTAGCCGGGCTTGGTGGCTCATCCTGTAATCCCGTGCCTTTGGGAGGCTGAGGTGAGTGGATTGCCTGAGCCCGCGGATTCGAGACCCGCCTGGGCAGCGAGACCTCATCTCTACAGTAAATCAAAAAATCAGCTGGGCGTGGTAGCGCATGGCTGTAATTCTGGCTACTTGGAAGGCTGAGGCGGAAGGATCGCCGGAGCCCAGCAGGTCAAGGCTGCGGTGGCCGGGAGCAGCCACTGCACTCCAGTCTGGGCGACAGAGTGAAACTCCAACTCAAAAAAAAAAAAAGAAAGCAAAACTACCCACTATCTCACTACTTTAAGTAATACTTTTTGACTGCCTGTTTGAGAACTGTGTTAGGAATAATGCTTAATGCTTACAAGCATTTATTTCATTTAATTTTATGTGAGCCTTAGTAAGTAGATTTCATTATTGTTTCCATTCACAGATAGGGAAACTGAGGTACAAGTGCTTCAGTAACTTTACATGCTACCCGACAGGTAGGCCAAGTCAAGGTTTAAACCCAGGTCAGACTCTAGAATCTTGTTCTTAATCCTGCTTCACATCATAATGTTTGCATTTTAGGGGTATTATTCATACAGATTTTCCAGGTTTTTATTGTCTTCATATAATTGTTTTAGTGATCTTCCATTGTGATAAAATACCTAACTTACTGAACCATTTCATTCATAGTGATTATCTGGTTCTCTAGGCGTTTATTATTATTAGATGGTGCTTCTTTGATTGCTTTTCTGCATATATATTTTTACTTTTCTGGAATTATTTACTTTAAATAAATTCCAATAAGGGAATATATAGATCATTTTGGAGTCTTACATATGCCTCTTGTAACAAATTACCAGTTTTATTATAATATCCCTTTGAATTTTATAAGGTAGTCTTAAAAGGTGTTTGGATTAATTGCTACAAAGAGGGTAGTAAACATATTCTCACTGGATTATATGTTATTGCAATTTAATGTTTCTGAGTTTCTTTGTATTACCCTTATTGGTGACTCTACCTTAGCATTTTAGAATTACTTAACCTCTCTATTTTTTCTCCTTGTGGTATATCCATATTACAAAAGAGCATACTTTTAAAAGTCAAGATGCAAAAGAAGTCTCGCATGGTTTAAAAATCAATGCATAAAAGCTAAAGACTGAAGTTGCCTATGTTTCTGGGTAATTACAATTTTTAAATTTGTACTTTTTAAAATGCTACAATGAAGTTTATTATATAAGCAGAAAATTTCTTTTTAAAATATAGCTGAGTTATATTTTATACTGAAATGAAACACACAAAATCAAAGCTAAGGGATAAATTGTGAAGTAACAAAAATGTCTCTTTCTCTTTACCTTTCTAATGAAAATAAGATTTTTTTTTACAAGTGAAACAAATAACATAGCCTTCTAGTTTTTTTATTGTTACTTTTTTTTATAAACAGGGATGCTGTTCAGTTAAATGTGATTGCAACCCAACAGCTAATTCTCCTTGCACAACAAATGAAGAATCTGGAAGTGTTCATGCATGTATCAACAGCATATGCTTACTGCAATCGAAAGCATATTGATGAAGTGGTGTATCCACCCCCTGTGGATCCCAAGAAGCTGATTGATTCCTTAGAGTATGTTTGTTTGAAATTTATATACATTTGCTTTGATCCCAAAACTTTGGATCCGAGTTCATCTATTTTTCTCATTCTCCTTCTTTTACCTACCTTTTCCCCTCTCTCCCTTTGCCTCTTTCCCTCTCTCCTTCTCCCCCCCATACACACACATATGCATGCATTTATTTCTTCAATAAATTATTGTGTATCTGCGATATTCTTTTTATTGTATAGATTTATATATAAATGAGTGTTAGTGAAGTGTGTGGGATTTTCACTTTGAATAAGTGTAATGGTAATGGTTGGAAGAAGGCTTCTGAACAGCTAGCTTATCAGGGAATCAATTCTAATAACCAAGAAGTACCTGTGGAGACAATGACTACCTAGTTAATAGCAAGGTTCTAATTTATTAAAGGATCATCCTCTGCTTCCTCCCCCACAAACGCAAATAGACTGTATCTATAGAGGAGCCTTTGATTATTAGGGAACCAGAGGAGTCATAGTCCTTTATTTCACACCCCTGCTGTTCCTGTTATCATCTTTCTGGGGACTGGGTCCTGTAAGCGGTTATTGCATGAAAACTGTGAGTATTTGATAGATGGAGAGTAAGTGAAGTTTGTCTATAACATGTCTCAGTTCTCCTTTGCTTTAGCTTACCTTTCTTATCAAACTTCTTTTATTTGTTTTGTTTGTTTGTTTGTTTTGAGTTGGAATCTCACTCTGTTGTCCCGTCACCACAGCCATGACCTGCTGGACTTAGGCAATCCTTCAGCCTCAGCCTTTCAAGTAGCTGTTATCAAACTTCTTATCAGAGCAAGAAGAAGAAAAAGAGGGGACTTTTTTCTTTTATAGACTGCAGTTATAGAAACATTCCAGTATCTACCACATCTTCATGTATTTGTCAGTCCTTATATAATATTTCTGAGTATTTTCCTCCTTTGTTCTTCTTTGGCTCTTTTTAGTTTCCTTTCTTCTCAGAGATTCTGTCCACTTTTGACTCCTTAGTTACCATCTGCTGCTTTCTCCTAAAATAAGTACACAGTCCTTTCTTTAGACTTTCTTGCTAATCATTATGAGGAAACAGAGATTGTAAAAAGATAAGTATGGAAGATTACCAAGGTATTCTTATGGTAATTCCCTGATTTCTAACTTCTGACTTAGTTTCTTTTTTTTTTTTTTGATTCAGGGTCTCACTCTGTCTCTTAGGCTGGAGTCCGTGGTGTCCTTCCGCCTCAGCCTTCCAAGTTGCTGGAACTGCAGGCATGCACCACCGTGTCCAGCTGATTTTTTTTTATTTATTGTAGAGACGAGGTTTCACCAAGTTGCCCAGGCTGGACTCAAACCCCTGGGCTTCAGGCAATTCTTTTGCCTCCACCTCCCAAAGTTCTGGGATTACAGGCATGTGCCACCACACCTGGCTCTGACTCAGTTTCTTAGATGATCCCATTGTCTACTTCATTGTCCTTGCAGGTCAGTTGACAGAAGTTAATATATTGGGAAAAGTTAAGTGTGGAAGTTAATGAAGCACTCTATTTTTTTCTTATTGGCATTGTTATATGCAAACATTTAAGGAACTGAGAAAGAACTTGTAGCGTAATGTTGTCCTTCTATTCCTTGCTTACAAAGAAATCTAAAAACAGATGATTTTAGAATAACTCATGGATTTGGTCTGTAAACTCATCCAGTGATATAAGGCTTACTGGCTAAAGTCTCTCCTCAGTTTAGGCAGGTTTCCTCCCTCCCCCATGTGTCAGTTATCCTTTCTATTTCTTAAAACTCATCTCCACTGTGGAATTTATTTTAAGATGGGTAGCACTCTCCCTTCAATTTAGTTAATGTTCTTATCCTTTCATATACAAAGAGTACATCCATATACAGAGGAAAATTTATCTTGATAATTTCTGTTTTATGCTTCCTTATCAGGTAGTAGGGTATTAGAACGTGACAATATGTTCGTGACAATATGTTGAGACTACTTGCATGTGGAACATTATAGGCAAGAAGGAGAAAGTATCTGAAAACAAATACATAGCATATCAGAATCAGAAACTGAGACAAGGAAAGATCATAGACATCACCTGGTATATCATCCTCATTTTACAGATAATCAGAGTAGACCATTTTTTCAGAGACACAGAACTGGAGGAATTTTGTGACTTCATAGTAGGTTGCTAATTGAATTTTTATAGTATTTTATAGTATAGTTTATTGTTTGTCGTAGTACATATTTGTTAATCTTGTTAGTGAGTGTGTACAATTTACAGTACTTCACTTTAAATACTAGATCTTTTTATATTAATTGTAAATGTATGTTAATTGCATTGTATTTAATTAACATGTTACTCTGTTAGGTAGTTATATACAGATCTGTTTCCTAATCTGAAATCTTTGGGGACAGATACATTTTGGAATTTATTTGGACTTTAGAAAGGAAATATAATTTATGTACTGTGCAGTATGAAAAACCTTCAAATTGATTGGGGATAGGATCCCTGATCAAACACATATAAAATGTATGAAGATTTAAACTAAGTTGTTTTTTTAAAAGATCATAAGTTTAAAAGACCATAAATTAGTTCAGATTAGTTCATACCTTATGATGTATGAAATTTTTTTGGTATAGAAATTGCAGATAAGGGATTGTGGATCTGTAGTTTATGTTTAACAAAAATAAGACTAACTTCAATTTTTTTAGTAAAAATGTTCTTATCATTTGCATCAGGGCAACAGACATGCTTGGATATGTAAAGTTAATTAGGTAGTTTTCATTTTATGGTAAAACATCTGGAAATACTTTTCTATGCAATTTGTGTGTTTACCAGGTGGATGGATGATGGCCTAGTCAATGATATCACGCCAAAATTGATAGGAGACAGACCTAATACATATATATATACAAAAGCACTGGCAGAATATGTTGTACAACAAGAAGGAGCAAAGCTAAATGTGGCAATTGTAAGGCCATCGATTGTTGGTGCCAGTTGGAAAGAACCTTTTCCAGTAAGTTGTTAGAAATCTTCATAAATAATTGGAACTGAGAATTTTACATCATAACTCTGTATAAAAAAAGCTGGCAGTTGTTTAAGAGCAGGTATTATTTACTAAACATGGCTTACCATTGCAAAATTGTTTTCCATTCACAGGAAGAGATGGTTTTATTGGTACTTTTATTTATAGTATAATGCTGTGTATACAGACATGTACATCAACATTTTTAAACTCCTAATAGAAAATTAGATCAAAAGCTATGATATGTCTTGAGTCAACTAAGACCACGATCTTATTTGCTTTTTAGTACCAAAAAGAGGCAAGCCTTCCAAGAGGTAGACCCTTCCTATATAGGTCATAAAACTATGAAAGATGTAAGAGATTTCTATAACTTGTGAAAAAAGCAGGGTATTATGGTATTTTAACATATACCCTGGGGTTATTTTCACAAATAATTCCTGGAATGAGAGAAAGCAGAAATATAAACCAATTAGGTAAATTGATTTAGGAAAAACCTAGGTCTGTATAATGGTAATGATAGCATCTCTTGTTGCTTTGACAATTATATTCTGTTTTCTCTGTCTTATTCAGTAGTTTTTGAGAAAGGCTTGCCATTTTCCCCAGTCTTAGGATACTGCATTAGTAAATAGGATAAAATCAAACTCGAGCAAGCTTAATTTAGCAAAAATATTTGGCAATGTTAACACCGTTTTGTCAAATTCTCTTTACAGAGAGTTAATGGAAGATTAACTTGAAAATATTGAAAATATTTTTACTCAATCATTTTTGATCCCAGAGGAAAACTGCTTCTGTTTGGCACTGGTAGAAATAATCTGGCTTGAATCTAGTCTATTTCTTAGTTTAAATCTATGAAGTATATATTAGAAGAAAACTACCAAGTGTGTTTTTGGAGTTGTAGCTTTCAAATAATAAATCTCTAGCTTCATAATATTTCTAAGCTCCCATCTTTTTAATTTTTCATTTTAGGGATGGATTGATAACTTTAATGGACCAAGTGGTCTTTTTATTGCGGTAAGTAAACCCTATGATTAATTTAATATTAAATATATATACACTACAGCTTACATATCTTAAGGTGTTGTTTTTGATTTTAACAAAGGCAGGGAAAGGAATTCTTCGAACAATGCGTGCCTCCAACAATGCCCTTGCAGATCTTGTTCCTGTAGATGTGGTTGTCAACACGAGTCTTGCGGCAGCCTGGTATTCCGGAGTTAATAGGTATATGAGGTGACAATGTTGCTTATTGAATATGTAGTAACTGAAAAGGGAAAATATAACTACTGACTAATGTTAATTAATCCTTCAACCCTGATATTGCCTTACCAGTTTATCACTGACAATATCACTGCCAACTGCAAGAGTTGGTATATCCCAATAGCAAGCAGTCCCATCAATAATAATGAACAATTAACATTAAATCTCATGTAATACATACAGGATAGACAAATTGATTAGGGATTAAAAATGAAAAAAAAATTGCCCTCCTCAAGGATGATTTTTTTTAATCCAAACTATAACTTGGTATAAATTTGACATATGCAGAAAGCTGAAATTCAGAGCCTGGTTTACATATATTAAACACAGCACACTAGAGCAACTTTAATAAAGCCCTGAGCATCCTTCTATTAAAAGATAGTATTTACAGATGACACCTGAACTTTTAGCTTCCCAGTAACTTTTTTTCCTAATCAGTAAACCACTCTTATTTTTGATGTCAATATTTTATGTCCTAATAAAAGAAGGGATATGACTATATGAATATGTTGTTTCTTGCAAAAGGAAACAAAGTTCATCTTTTTTTTTCAACCAGAGCCTCTGAAAATGAGGAGACAGGTAGAGCTGAGATTGTTGTTGCTTTTCTCACACTTAAAAATTAATACAAGAGAAAAAAATGTGAAAAGAAACAAAATCTATTTTTTGGGATGGGGTGGTAGAAAAGGTAGTTGTAAATAGTCATTATTGTAAAAGCTAATCCTTTAAGGATACTTAAAAAAAAATAGTATAGATAAAGAACTCATTGTCCTCATGTTCTACTTGGATGTTTTCATTTAAGATTTAGGTTGGATACATTTGGCCTCTTTTTATGTTTCATTGCTTTTGTCTCTGTCTTTGCAGACCAAGAAACATCATGGTGTACAATTGCACAACAGGCAGCACTAATCCTTTCCACTGGGGTGAAGTTGGTATGATTTTACCTGTGTTTTTGAATGTTAGAATTCATCTTAAAGAACTGAAGTTCACTGAAGTTTTAATGTTAGAATACCCTTGAGGCATTAAGGCCACTAAGTTACCAATTTGTTTTAAGTATTTTAATTGCCATCGTAGAAGTAATATCTACCAATACTACCTTGTGGTCCTTAATAGTGTTTTACAAATGAAAAAACATCCTGCTGTATATTCCCCCTCACCCCACCCTTGTCTGACCCTTGCTGTTTTTCTGCTGCCATCTGCAGCAGCCCTCCTAGATCCCTGTGGCATGGGAACAGTGCTTTTTTCTCCCTTATGAGCACCCTCAGTCCTGATGTTGCCTATTCACAGACAATGTCACTTCTAACTACAAGAGTAGGTATATCAAGTGGCCCCCAGAGTAATAAACAAAGGAACTAGGAAGTAGGATACACTTTGCCAAAATATTTTCTATTAATCTTTATAATCTTCTTAAACTCACAGATTCACAAGCAGGTAGTGTTATGTTCCTAGTTCTAAAATAGGGATAGTATAACTTAAGGGTTATTGAAATTGATCATTTTAAAATTGTTGGCTAATGATTAAAATTTAATTTAAAGTAAATTTAAAATATATTTAAATTTAAGTAAAACAAATTTGTGGCATTGATTTAGTGAAAGATCTTATTTTACCTCTAATTGAATAATTTGCATTACCCCTGCAGACCAATTTTGATTTTAAGGTAAATTTTTTATGACCTTTGTGCTAGGGTTTTTCTGTGGTATTTTTATTTCAATTTAAAGATTGACCATTAAAAAGAATCTGGGGTAATTTTAACTTTATGATAATTATTTCAAGTAGTCTTTTAAGAATACTTAAACACATAAACGAGTTAGGCTTTTTATACTCTTTTATAAGTTACTGTGTTATTGTGTTGTAAAATTTAGTGAAAAAAATTAAATTGGGCATTATTTTTTAGTGAATATCTCACTATACATTTCCAATAAAGAATTAACATAGGTGATACTAGATTTGATTGTGTTGACATTGAGTTACTAAATAAATTTCAGCAGAAGTCAATTTTGGGTTGTTTTAAGCTTGTTGATATATGATAATTTGAGCAACTTAAGCAAAGGATGATGATTTTCCTTTTCTTTTTTAAGTAAGTACAGTAATAAGAATCTGGAAAGAGGAACAGAAAGAAAGAAGCTATCGTGAGAGGTGAAATATAGAAAGTAACATTGTAAACTGATATAAGTAAAACACTGAAAGGATTTAAGTGTAAATTTTAGCAAAAATTCGTTCATCTAATTAAAATTCAAGAGTAGTGGCAGTTTTAAAATCACTTGAGCTCAGCAGTCTAATACATATATTCTCGTAGCTGCTTTAGAGTAGAAGTTTGTTTTTTAAATGAACGAACACTGGCATCTTTGGTAAAATATTTTGCATTGTAAAAACATGATTTTTTTTTCAAAACTTCATTACATGGTTATTATCAAAGCTGTTACACAACTTTTCTTCCTCAGAATACCATGTAATTTCCACTTTCAAGAGGAATCCTCTCGAACAGGCCTTCAGACGGCCCAATGTAAATCTAACCTCCAATCACCTTTTATATCATTACTGGATTGCTGTAAGCCATAAGGCCCCAGCATTCCTGTATGATATCTACCTCAGGATGACTGGAAGAAGCCCAAGGTAATGGTGACTAGCTCTGTCTTATCTGTTCCTCTGACTGTTAAACAACCCATGCTTACACTAAAATGCATATTAACTCTGTATTTGTTTATGCTTATGATAAGGCTTAATGGCCTTTTGTGAATGAGAAGACTCTTGAATTTAAGACTTGGTCAGAAAAGCAAAGGTAGTGTTGTAAGTCACTCTAATTTGTTCTAAAGTTTGGATGATAAGTTACTGTGATGTATTGAATTCTAGGTCTAACTTTAGGTATTTTTTGAATAACAAATAATATTCAAGATGCTTTGACGCTTATTTTTCCTACAGGATATTATCTAAATCATTGCTTCAAGATGAATCCTTTAAACCAAGTATTCAGGCGCCCCAATATTAAGTTGTATTCCAACAACCTATTGCTTCATTATTGGAAGGGTGTCAGACATACAGTACCTGCATTATTGCTCGATCTTGCACTCAGGTTGACAGGTCAGAAACCGTGGTAAGAAGAATAGCAGTAAATACACTGTGTATTGGTAAGGTGGTGGAAGCTTGCTGGAGAGACGGAAAGTCGCTAGCATGAGCTTTACCTTTAGAATTACTAACCTGATCACAATCACAATCACAATCAGGATGCTAGGACATTTCCTAGAATTTGGAGATATTTGGGGAGACTAGCTGGATCTTATTTTACTGAGTCATTGATCCTCCAAAATCCCATAATATAGAAAATGTCCTAAATCAAGGTTGTCATTGTTATTATAAGCTGAAATTGAGCCCTTCTCCTCTCGCCCTTAAAAACCTAGGGTTGAGTTTTTATAGGGGATTAAGGGTTAAATGTTTTGCTTTAAGTAGATGGTGCAGTTTTATGTGAAAAATATAGGATGCTTCTATAAAATTACTTGAAATATCTCAGCTGCCCATTCAGCTTATAATACGGTTATTACAGTTTTGACTAATTTTCCAAGTTGGGAATGGCATAGTCATGACAAAAAAATTAATAATAAATGGAAAAATTCCTATTTTCTTATAGTTGTAATAGCCTTTCTTTCTTCTTTCTTTTTTTTTTCATTGAAACCCCACAAACTTAAGTACTACCTTCTTTGCCACACAATTACAATGAAATGTACTATAAAAATATTTATTTATTTTTTTTAACTACATTGGCATTACAGTGGAGTCTTTGATTGGAGAGTGCAGGATTTGAGTATTTATGTATAAAGAAGATGCTGATTCCAGAACTTCCATCAGCTGCTCAAAAAATAAATGTGAGGTATCTGCCAGTTACAGTGTATCAGGATCTGAGTTCCTTGTAGGGATTTTCTGTGGATTCATTTGTCCATGATGTTGCTAGCCCTATATGTTAACTAATTGGAATATGTGAGAGGTATTAAACAAGTTTAGAACAGATTTAAAAAGTATATTCTTGGGCTTTTCTAGAATGATCTTCAAAATGCAATGTTTGCCATTGGTAGCATTCTTTTATTACTGAAAAGCAGGCATAAATTCATGAACGATGGCCGTACATGCTTTCTTTATGTTAATCCACTTGTTATAGTTTAGGGCAGAAAAGTCAAAACTAAAAAAGGGGGCTTAACAGATTTAAAAAATATGAGGGAACAGCCAAAGTTTACTAAATGATTCAGAGTAGATGTTGCTGTATAACAAATCATCTCAAACTTGGTGGCTTAAAGCAGCAATAGTCATTTTATTATTTCTTTCAGTGTATTATTTCTGTTCTGGTCAGGAATTTGGGGTTTGGCATGGGAGTCTTTCATGTAGTTGTGGTCAGATTAAAGAGATGGGGGTGGGGAGGAGCAATGGAGCAGCAAGGAGCCAGATATCATTGTCTCTTCCTGTCATGTCAGAATCTCTCTGTATAGGTTATTTGCAAGGATTAATGCCAGCCTTTGGGGAATTAGACTTTTTACATGGGCAGCCAAAGGCTACATTACCTTTTCTGATCTACCCGGGAAAGTCTTACAGCATCACTTTTGCCTCATTCTTCTAGTCACAAGTGAGTCACAAATTCTAGATTTAAGAAAGATTTAGAGAATGGTCAGAACTGTTCCATAAATGAACAAGTGAGATAAAAGGTATTGTTGCAGCCATTTTCGGAAAGTGCAATCTGTTATAGTCAACCGTCTGGCCAAAACAATTTCTATTCCTCCCACTTAGAAAATACAGTTAGTGGCTTCTTTCTCCCAAGTTCCCTGTGGCATCAACCTGAAGTCAGAGTTTTGTCATCTAAAATCGGTCCATTCTCAGGTAAGGCTCTTTGGGAGTGGTTTTGCTCATGTAGGTCCTCAAGTATAGTACCTCAAGTGTTGATCTGAAATCCTGTGAACTAAAGCAGCAAGTGACTAACTGCCTATATTCCCGTCTTAAGGTGATGAGACAAGCATAAGATGATGGCTTTAGATAATCTTATTCAAAAAGGGAGAATATGAAAGGCACATAACAAACACTGGTCTGTGACAGTTCTGAATTCCAGTTAGGGATGTGTTAATGGTTTCTTGATTGGAGTTCAGTCTTACTCTGGGAGTTTTCTGAGGCTCTTGACTCGGCTCTCTGAGTTGTCCTTCTTTAGCCTTAAAAAGTAGCATAGGTATACGATTGAGTAGCCTTCTTGTTCTGCTTTCTGCCCATAAAAGGTTAGGGATCCAGGGTGTGAGTTGGAAAGCTTTTCTTGTAAATTAGCACCGTGTCATAAATATTTAAGGCTCTGTAGGCCATACAGGAAAGCAGCCATAAACAATATGTAGATGAAAGAACATAACTGTATTACACTGAAACTTTATTACAAAAACAGGTGGTAAGCTGATTGTGGTGTGATGGCCCTAATTTGCTGATCTTGGCTATAGTGGCCTTTTTTCATTTTGTACTGTCTCTGTTCATTTACATGTAAACGGACACGATTGCTTTAAAACTTTTTCATTGTATCTGTTTTAGAGGAATCCACGACATTAGATCCCAGCCATACCTATAGATCTCTTTTGAGACAAGCCCTTCTCTTTCTTGGGTGCTCTCTGAGGTTGCTATAGAACAACACCCTTAGATATTAAATTCTTGCCTCTTAGATCCTTAGACTCTAGATCCTGCCTTTTGAACAATAGAGTTCCTGTTGACACATGTCTTTAAGATCTGGAGATAGCCTTTTGTCTGTCTGAAAGGTTCTATGAGCCATCTACCTTAGGTTTAAGGTCTTAGCAAAGAATCTGACATTCTCACCCTGGATTTGACCTATGCTCAGAAACCATTACGTAATGAATTTCTGACTGGCTTTTTACATTTCCAACAAATTCTACTCAAATAGTTCATTTTAAAAAACCATCTTTGTCCTCTTTTAGGAAATCTTGGATAGATCATCGAGTTTATTAGGTAAAGTTTTTATCTCTCATGTTACCGCAGGTGACAGTTTTTTCAATCTTTCATTCAACTTCCAATAATATTTTCCTCACTTCTCATCAACAGCTTCCTTAAATTCCTTTAAGGTTTCTGCTAATGTTCTTTTCCTGGTCTTTTCAGATCTCATTAATGATCGCCTCAAAAGCCTTACAGGTTTTCTCTACCATTGATCCTAAAGCCAGTACCTCATGTCATAGATTTTTATTACAGCAGTCCTGCCCAGTATAATGTTACAGTTACCTGTGCTGCATGAAAAGTCACCTCGAGTATCTCAAAACAACAAGCATTTTATTTGTCACAACTTCTGTGGGTCAGAAACTTTAGAAAGGTTTGCCTGGTTGGTTCTGGCTCAGGGTCTTTCAAGTGGTTGCAGTCAAGGACAGAGACTAGAACAGGTACACTGTGGAGGAACTGGTAAGGGGGAGGAGGGGGTAGAGCAGCTAGAGTGGCCGGCGTCTTTCTTGCTTCACATAGTGGCAAGCCTCTCCATGTAGTGTCTCCATATGGACTAGTTTGGGCTTCCTTGCAGCATGGCAGCCTCAGGGGGAGTTGGACAGCATGCAAGGTGACTGAAAGCTTCAAGGTGAGTATCCAGTGAGCAAGGCAGAAAGCTCTATCAACTTTTCTATCCTAGCCTCAGAAGTCATACCATGTCACTTCCACCTTACTCTTATAACTTATTCTTTTGGTTATAAGTTACCTTCATCTCTCAATGGAAGACAGTCAAGGTGACATTGTAGGTGAGCGTGTAGGATGGGAGAATATAATATCACAGGCACCTTTGGAAAGTAAATCTTCCTCAAATAGGAAATGTTCAGTAAAGAATCTTCTTACTTAAGGTTGTCCTGTGTGAGGCTTTCTAAGTATCAAGGCAGGACTGATTCCTTGACCTATGGGAACTTATAGTCCAAAAGCAACATGAGAGATAAAGGTCTTTTATTTAGACAATTGTGTAAGTGTTAAGTACAAAGTCTTAAAATTTGTATAATTTGTTCAGCTATTTATTGAGCATGATACTGGGTTTTACACCTTTTATTGGGGCCTTAATATAAAATTTAATTCTACATAAAACTGATGTCAATCATGTCATTCACAATGTCCAGTTTACTCAGTTTCTTCTGAGTGTCAGCTATTTAAAAATCTGACCTGCTGTATATCTTGACATAATTATAAAAAGAAAAACTCAGATATACCTCACATAGGTTCTTGGTTTATATTGGGAACTAGGATGCACGATATTGCATACAGACACAGCATAAATTATTCACTCTAGCTCTTGAAATATAGTAAATGTTTTACCACTGTTAAAAATATTTAAAGAATGTCTCCATGGTCTTAAGTTTTGGTTATTTAGTTTAATTCTCTCTAGCTTAACTTCTCCAAACCTGATATTTTTCATCTGTGTGGTTCTCAACTGGAGAATGTGACAATGTTTGGAGGTATTTTTAGTTACCACAGCTGGGGTGGGGCTGCTACTGGCATCTAGTGGATGGAGGTAGGGGTGCTGCCGACATCTTACAGCCTGCAAGACAGCCCTCCACAACAAGGAATTACTAGGCCCACTAGTGCCAAAGTTGAGAAACCCTAAACTAGCTGATTTTTAAGATCTTGACCTACTCTAAAGGATTGTGATTGGTTATTGTTGAAGGTTGCCATAATAAAGAATAAATACTCGAACATACCTGGCAGTGTAGTCACAAGCATCTGTTCTATGACATATTTAACCAAGGAGTGATGATTCAAAGTTTTAAGTTTCTTTTCATTCCTCAGTAATATTCAATGCAGTACTTTTGTTGCCTGTTACTCCTTTTTTTGGGGGGGGGGGGCGGAGTCTCACTCTGTTGCCCAGGCTTCAATGCAGTGGCACGCTCACGGCCAACCCATCGTCGACCTGTTGGGCTCCAGCAATCCTTCCACCTCAGCTTTTCAAGTAGCTGGAACTTACAGGCACACTACCAGGCCAGGCTAATTTTTTTTGAGAGAGGAAGTTCACCAAGTTCCCTGGGCTGGTCTCAAACCCACAAGCTCAGGCATTCCACTCGCCTTGGCCTCCCAAAGTGCTGGGATTACAGGCTGAGCCACTGAGCCCAGCCTGCGTTGCCTGTTGTTCTATAAATTTTGCATAAAAATATATAGCCTTTCAAATTTCTTTCTCAACATTTTATTCCAATTATATTTTGAATGACTTAATCAGTGATTGACTTTAAGGTAATTCTGTTACTTGAATGAACCTGAAGATAAGATTAGGTGAGAATTATCAATGAGAAAGGAGTTAGGAAGAAAATCTTTGTAATAAGATATATGTTGGAAAACCATGTTAACTGGGTGTGAGAGAGAGAGATTCAAGAATATTATACTGGCGATGGTTTGTTGATGTAGTTACAAATTTGTTATATATTTTTGTTTTTTAGGAAAAAATGCCTAATCTTTTCTGAAAGCAGCATGTCCGTCCCCCCCACCATCACCACCCCAAGCTTTTTATCTATATGAACTGTTTCTGTCCAAAAAACAGCTTTTGGTGCTTGATACTTTTTGTGTTTAATGGAGATTTTGTTTTGAAATTACTTTATTGGGTGAACTACAGTTTTTCTTTACATAGTCCATATTGTTTCATTTTCTTCTGGTATTCTGGATTCAGAGTTTCTTTCTAAATGTATTAAATGTTATCAGAATTGCTTAGCTAATGATACAGTTTTGATTTTTCTTTTCCTCTATTTCTAATATTCAAATTTTCCTCCATGTTCCCCATTTTTAAAGCTCCTAATTTTGGGACTTTCTAAACTACATATAATGCTAATTATTGTATTGTGGGAATACAAATTAAATTATTTTAAAAGTACTTTTTTACAAATTATTTTTCTGTTCTCAGAGGTTGGAATTTTTCTGTGTGTTTGGTTTCAAAAAGTTCTTCTCTTTCCCTGCTTATCATACATAATTATGGTATAGATATTCTGCTCAAGTTAGTGTTATGATATCAATGACTTACATTGAACCATGATATATAAAATGACAGATTTAAAGACCTGGCACTTTTTAAAATAAACAAAAATGTGTTACACTCCTTTATTTCCATAAGGATGGGATTGTTCGATAATTAGAAAATGAATGAATATCTATTTCAGAAAGTTTTCAGTGTAAGTCATTGATTTCACAGCACATCCAGACAGTCAAGAGTGGCACCAATCGTTGTTAAAGAGAGTTTTTTTATTTCTTAAGTAGAGTTGACTAAATGGCAAACGAATATTTCTGTATTCACTTTGCTTCAGTGATGCTGAAGAGTTGGGATTATAATATTATACAGTATGTTATGAATTTACAGGAATTCTTAGTTAATGTAGCTGTGAGCTATAAAATGTAGCTTAAGGAACAGAAAGCAAGGAAATATTATTTGAAGCCATTTATTGGCTTAGTATTTTATGTCGAAAACTTGACTTTAAGATCATTGCGTATCCTTTGAGAATTAATTCCATATGTCAACGGAATTCTATTTTTGCAGTATTAAATGCATTTGCTGCTGCTTCCAAAAAATTTTTTTCATTTTGGATTTATAAAACGTTCTTCCCAGATACAGAAATATTCTTATTCCCTGCTGGTTTTGTACTCTTAATTGAATTATATTTTATAATTTTAACGTTAATGTCTATATTGGGGAAAACTGGTGCCCTGGGTGGTGATGGGATTTTTCCTAATTATATAAAATATGACTCTGTCAATTTTTCTTATAATACAGGATGATGAAAACAATAACTCGGCTTCACAAAGCTATGGTGTTCCTTGAATATTTCACAAGTAATTCTTGGGTTTGGAATACAGACAATGTCAATATGTTAATGAATCAGTTAAACCCTGAAGATAAAAAGGCAAGTATTTTCTGTTTGTTTAGAAAGTAAGTAGCATACTAACTAGAGAGCCATTAGCAACCTGAGAAATAATTAAATATTTTCTACAACCATTATGCAACAAGAAAGTCATTGATCTATTAATAGGCTCTCATTAAATCTTCAGTGATAATTGTTCGTGGTAAAATAAAATTGCTCAATCTTAACATTTATAGTGTAAGTATTTGAGAGTGGCAAAGGTATCATCAAAGTGTGGTTTGAAACGTTGATTCTCTTTTTCCCTTACTGTCAGATTCAAAGAGAACTTTAATTTCTTTAAGTATTTTTTTCCCCAAACACCTTTGCTTCTCTGCGTTTTGACAAACAACATCTCTAAGAAATTGTTTTTTGTAAACTTTTAAACTTTGTGTCGTTCTGCATTGCACTCTTTGCTAGTTTGAAACTTAAATTCTGTGTGTGTGTGTGTGTGTGTGTGTGTGTGTTTTATTTTTTGAGGTTACCCTAGATAATTTAATCATACATATCTAACACAGACTAAGTTAAGTAGTTTTTATAGCTTCCTTCTTAATGATATTCAGAACCTTAAGATGTTTTAGCTATGATTACCACTCCCACTAACTTATGTGGTTGTGCATTACATTAGTTATCTATTTAAACCCTATGATTAGAAATTATTATTTTGTTCATTCAGTTTTGATTTAGATTTAACAGTGTACAGGTATCGATATCTTCGCTCTCAGATTTTCTCCTTGTGAACTTCTTTCTGCCTAAAATATACTCCAAATACTAGAATATGATATAGTTGGCAGGGGGGGAGTCTGTTAGTAGTGAATGCTCAGTTGTTGATTGTCTGACATGTCTTTTATTCCACCCTTGGTTTTGAAACAGGATTGCAGCACATTAAAGATAACTTTCTTTTTTTTATATTCTGTCTAATGTTGTTGCTGTTGAAAAGTCAGTAATTTTTTCTTCCTTTATAGGTGGTCTGTTATTCCTGGCTCCTTTTCAATTTTCTCTTTGGTGTCCAACAGTTTCACTATGAAAGTGTCTGGGTATAGTTTTTTAAAATTTACCTTTCTTGGGTTGGATTTTCTGAATCTGAAGTTTAGTGTCTTTCAGGAATTTTCTGAAAACGTATTCATTGTTTCCTCAAATATTGTCTCTTCACTTTTTAAAAATCTTCTCCCCAAATTCCTAGTATATGTTGATAATTCCATCTTACAGGTCTTTTAACCTTAATTTTATATTTTGTATATCTTTGTTTCTGGGCTAAAATCTAGATAATTGGATTCTGTGGCCGTCTATCAGCTGTTTGTAAATCATCCAGTTGAATTTGGAGCTTCAGTTATAACATTTTCAGTTTTAGAAAGTTTATTTATTTTTCAGATCTTCTAGGTATTTCTTAAACAGTCTCTAGAATTTTTACCTTGAAACATATTTGACATAATTATTTTAAATTCTGTTTCTGATCATTTAAACTTCTAAAAGATTTTCAGCATCTGATTCTGCTGTCTGTTGTTTGAGTTGTATCTTTTGTGAGACTTTATCTTTGTTTTTTGTTTTGTTTTGTTTTGTTTTGTTTTATTGTTACTTGCTTGACTGTGGGATTTTTTGAGACCTAGATTGAAACTGCACTTTTGCAATAAGGATTTACTCTTGCTTCCAGTAGTAGCCTAATTAACTCGTCAGGTGGCATTAACAAGCTAGGATTCCTTTAAATATATGATTAGGTTTTTAGCATAACTCCGCTGAGCGTAGGCCTAAAATAGACTGTATAGCTGGTTTGTGATTTCAGTTTCTCAAAGGAGTTTTATATTCATTCTTTCAGTACTAGCTTCCTTTCTCTTCCCACTTATTTTTTTATTTTAATGTTTCGTTTAACCCAATACATCAAAAATCTTACTTGAATAGCTCAACAATCTAAATATTACTTAAAGGATATTTTACTTTCTGTTTTTCATGCTGCGTCTTTGAAACTCAGTGTACATTTTACACTCCACAGCATATATCAGTTTGAACTAGCCACATCAGGTGCCCAAGAGACACATGTGGCTGTGGCTACCATATTGGACAGTACACACCTAGGCCATTCTGTTGATTCTGTATGACAGTAGTTAAGTGAGCTGTTTCTCTGCCCACTTCTGTGTGTGGTGGGTTTGCTTCTTTTCCACCCTTGCTCTGAGGATAAACTTTTTAAGCTTTTATCTTTTTGCGGGATGTAAGAATCCTTAGCTTATGGGACATAGGTTTTATAACCTGTCTTTCTCCCTTTCTGCAGCCTTCAAGGCAGAATGTCTTAGTCACCAGGGTCCTGTAGATACTCTTAGGTGGAAAGATTTGTAACTTCTGCTGATTCCTTATTTTCTTTTTCCCCATTTTCCCCGTGCATAACACACACTGCTCCGTGGATTATTAGATAGTGAGCAACCAGGTGAAGAACTAGAATATTATTACCCTGAGAAGTCCCCTTCATGCCCTTTCCTAAAATTACCTCCTCTCTCTTCCTAAAGGTAACAACTGTCTTGAATTCTAACACTATATATTAGTTTTACCCATTTTTGACCTTACACAAATGGTATTATACAATAGTTTTAAAAATTCTTCTCTTGATAGACATTCAAGTTGTTTCCAATGTTTGGCTATTAGGAATGATTCTCCTGTTAACATTCTTCGTGTCCACATGTACACATCTGTGTAGGGTGTAAACCTAGAAATAGGGCAACATAGGATATTCATATGTTCAATTTAATAGATAATGCCAGACAGTTTTCCAGAGTGGTTGTACCAGTTTACATTCCAAATGTCCCTGTTAATCCACATCCTCCACAACAGTTGGCATTTTCATTTTTAATTTTAGCCACTTTGGTAGTTTGTAGTGGTATATCCATATGATTTTAGTATGTATTCCTTCTACATAAAATGCTTATGTAAAAGTAGTGAAAATGTCAGTAATTCCATTGAAAAATATATTAGAGAGATGACCAGTTCATAAAAAAAGATTCTTAACCATTCAAAAAGATAGTTGTACTTATAATCATGAGGATGCAAATTAAAAATTAGTCTGAGGTTTTATTTACTACTTATCAAATTTGCAAAAATGCAAACTTTGACAACATACTCTGGTGAGCACATGAGCATCCTCATGCAATGCTGATAGAAATGTATGGTATGTTTCCCCACCCTTTTATTTTCAGCCATTTTTTGTCTCATCTTTTAGATATGTCTCTTGTACGCAGCATATAGTTGTTGTTTTCAGTCTGACAATTTTGACTCTTAGTAGAAGAATTTAATCCATTATGGAATTTTTGATAATTTTCTACTTAAATCTGACACCTAGTGCTTTGTATTTGTCACATTTGTTTCAGGTTCTTTTAGAAAATAATTTTGTTTTTCCATCTATATGTATTACATAGAAATATATTCCTTTTCACTTGTTTTAGTAGATTTCCCTATAGATTAAAGTATCCTTTGATGTAGCAAGGTCTAAAAACAATGGAAACTTATACCTTTTCTCAAAGTATCAATACCTATCAGTCTGGACACCTTTGGTCTGGACTCATTTTCCTTCTGCCCAAAGAATACTCTTTTTTTTTTTTTTTTTTGAGTTGCATTCTCACTCTGTTGCCCAGGCTGGAGTGCAGTGGCACACTTATGGCCACTGCAACCTCCACCTGCTGGGCTCAGGCAATCCTTCCACCTCAGCTTTCAAAGTAACTGGAACTACAGGCGCATGCAACTACGCCCAGCTAATTTTTTGATTTATTGTAGAGATGAGGTCTCACCGAGTTGTCCAGGCTGATGTTGAACTCCTGGGTTCAGGGTATCCTCTCGCCTCTCCCTCCCAAAGTGCTGCGATTACAGGTGTGAGCTACCATGCCCAGCCAAGAATACTCTTTAGTGTACTTCTCCAGTGGGGGTTTTCTGCTGATGTCAGATTGTGTCCATTTTATTTCTTCTGGAAACATCTTTAATTCACCTTTATTTTTCAAGGATATTTATACAGTTTTTTTGTTGTTGAGGACTTAGAAGACAGCTGATTAGTCTTGGCTTCCACTGCTTCTTGAGAAGTCAACTGTCAGTCAAATAGTTACTCTTATAAAGGTAATCTATAAGCCTGTAAGTCCTTTTTCTGACTTATTCTCATATGCGTGTGTGTATGGGGGAGTATGTATGTATGCTTTGAATTTGTAACTTGGTGTCTCATCATTTTTGGAAAATTTCCAAGCACTGTCTTCTCAGATACTGCTTCTTTTCCATTTCCCCCCCCCATACTTCCTATGGGACTCCCAATTAAACACATATACCGTCTCACAATGTCTCCTATGTGAACTCAAGCCAAGTCTTCATTTTAAGGCAGTTATTTTATGTTTTAACAATTTATTTGTAGTAGCATTTTCCCACCTAGAATTTGTTACTTTTAAATAAGTGATGGTAATAGTGTATAATCTCTTTGACATTCCAAAAAAATTATCTGACTATGTAATAAGGATCACTGAACAGTGCAATAGCTCTCTTATTTTGCCATGAAGTAACATTTCTGAAGACTTCTTTCCTGGATTTACCTACTTTCATCAAATGATCTAGTAACTATTATCTAATCTCCTAAGCTAGCTTTCATAGCATGCTCTTTCTCTTGATGTCAACAGTATTCTCTAGGTAAATCAGTCTGTGATATGCAAGGATGTTCAGGAAAAGAGGAGAGACTGCATATAGAAAGGACCTGGGAATAAATGTCTCAATACCTGTTTGGACAATAGGATTTTGTCTTTTTTTTTTTTTTTTTAATTGGTATAGGCTTTTTTCTCCTTACATTTAACCTACTTCTCTTTAAATGCTAACATGAGTTTCCAGATTATCTTGGAAAATGTTTCTGTGTCTAATGGAAGGTATGAAATAAGAATAAGGTTTTTTTTGTGACCGTCAGTAAGATTTTAAAAGTTAATTCTGTATCTGAGCATTTTATAATCATGTCATTTGGAATTGACTTTCAGAAAAAGTATGAATTTCTGACTGGTTCTAAAAAAAATTGAGAAAGTTACCAGTAATTTTTTTGTTAATGTAGACCTTCAATATTGATGTACGGCAGTTACATTGGGCAGAATATATAGAGAACTACTGCATGGGAACTAAGAAATATGTACTGAATGAAGAAATGTCTGGCCTCCCTGCAGCTAGAAAACATCTGAACAAGTAAGTTTGATCCATAGGTTTGTTTACATCTTGTCTTCCTTGTGAAAGAAATACACGACTTTTTTCCACACTGGTATATTGAATAAAAAATGCTATCTACTATCCATAACACCCGAAAGTGCCCAATCTCATCTGAATAACAGATACTGTTTATGATCTGTTGTATTTAGGAAAAGTACTTACCTTTGGACTGGAACTATGGTAGTATTGATGCAGCTTAAGATTGTTGAAACTTACTGTCTTCATCTGCTTGTACATTGCTTAGTGTGACATTCAGGTGTAATTGAGTTTTAAAAGTTACTATTATCTTGCTTATTTTGCTACTGAAAAGAATATTGAAAGAAAATACAAATGTATTTTAAGCTGTAGGTAGTCTGTTTATAGTTTTAAAAAATCTACTCAATCTTTAGAAGAATAAAAGAGCTGTAACAATAAATTGTTATTGAGCATAGGATTTTTTTTTTTTTTTTTTTTGAGTTGGAGTCTCACTTGGTCGCCCAGACTGGAGTGCAGTGGCTGGAGCCTCGACCTGCTAGGCTCCAGCGATCCTTCCGCCTCAGCCTTCCGAGTAGCTGGAATTACAGGCATGCGTTACCACGCCTGGCTGATTTTTTTTTGATTTATTGTAGAGATGAGGTCTCACTGCCCAGGCGGGTCTCGAACCCGCGGGCTCAGGCAATCCACTCACCTCAGCCTCCCAAAGGTGCGGGATTACAGGCTGAGCCACCGAGCCCGGCTAAGATTTTTTTATCTTTTTCCAATTATAATGGAATTATAATTTCCTTAGTCTCTTCTTAAAAGTAGTATATGCTGATTTTTTTTTAAATCTCAGAAAATAGAAGAGGAAAGAATCACTAGTAATTCAGAGAAACACATCATTTTAATGGCAGTCTCTTTTATTTGTAGTATTTTTCAATATGATTTTTATGGGCAACCTCTTTCAAGTCCCCTCTTGCTGTGAGAGCTTTTCTGTCCTTGTTATAAATCCTACTTTCTCAAAAAAAAAAAAAATGATTTTTATGCAGTTTTCAAGACTTTCACAATTATCCCTCATATACCTCATAACTCTGTGAGACTCAGCAGGATAGCCAGTTGTATAGATGAGGACATTAAGGCTTAGGGAAGTTGTATTTGCCTAGGCTATATTGTGTTAAGCAGCAATGCAAACTAGAGTATTGATCTTTTGACTCTTAATTCAGAACTCTTCTCTACATCATTTTTCCTATATTGCAGTCCTATTTTGCACTGCCTACATTATTACATACCCAATGGTTTGTATTTCTCTCAGACACCTTCAAGAAACAGCAAAATGTTTTGAAGCATGAGCTGGGTAACATGCTATATTTCTCCCTGAGAACAGGAAGGTCCTCCTTTATAGAGCTAATGCCATGTTTTATTCTTGGATGAGTTGGCCTTTGATCATATGACTGTCAGATATGACTGAAGGATTAAGTTCACTTGTCTGACAACTTGTAAGCTACTAAAGATGTCGAAAAATATTTACTGTATTTTGCCTGGACTGTGATATATATGATGAGCAAATCTTTTTAGGTTAGTTGGGAAGCTGCAGAACTTTATTTATTTTTATGTTTTATTTTTAGTCTCTCTTTTTTGCTTATTTTAATTGTAATCAAACATACACATTATAAAATTTTATCACATTAACCATCTTAAGGGTACCCTTCAGGGACATTTAGGCATTTACATTGGTGTGCAACTGTCATCACTATTTATCTCAGGAATTTTTTAAAAAAAATTTTTATTTTAAAGATGTGGGGTACAATTCAGGGTTAGGTATACAAATGTTCATTATGCAGGTACCCTTGTTGATGAAGTGGCCCCTCTGCCCCCCGGTAGAATCCCACTACTGCCAGTCCCACCTTCGCCACCTTCCCCTCCCCCCGCCCCCCGGGCAGTTTCCCTTCTACTGCCAATCCTTTTCTAACAGTATTACAATAATTTTTCAAGGTCCGCTTATGAGTGAGAACTTGTGATACTCAGCTCTTTGTTTCTGTGTTAGATCACTGAGTATTATAGACTCTAAGTCCATCGAAGTTGCTGCAAAGTTCATAATTTTATCCTTCTTTATGGCTACATAATAGTCCATTGTGTATATGTACCACATTTTTTTTAATCCAGTCTTCTGTCATTGGGCAGCATGATTGGTTCCATATTTTTGCTATTGTGAATAATGCTGCAATAAACATGTGAGTGCAGGAATCTTTTTCACAGAGTGATTTGAGTTCTTCTAGGTATATTCCTAATAGGGGGATTGTGGGGTAGTATGGAAGGTCAATTTTTAGATCTTTTGGTAATTGCCACACTGTTTTCCACAGCAGTTGTATTATTTACACTCCCACCAACAGTGTAAAAGTGTTCCCTTTTTACTGCATCCTCTCCAGCATCTGTTTTTTGAGTTATTGATGATAGCCATCCTAACTAGAGTTAGGTGGTATCTCAGTGTAGTTTTACTTTGCATTTCTTTTTTTTTTTAAGTTGGAGTCTCACTCTGTCACCCAGACTGGAGTGCAGTGGCACGCTTCCGGCCACCGCAGCCTCGACCTGCTGGGCTCCAGTGATCCTTCCACCTCAGCCTCCCAAGTAGCTGGAACTAGAGGCGTGCGCTACCATGTCTGGCTAATTTTTTATTTATTGTAGAGATGAGGTCTCACCAAGTTGCCCGAGAGGGTCTTAAACCCGCAGGCTCAGACAGTTCACTCACCTTGACCTCCCAAAGCGCTGGGATTACAGGCTGAGCCAATGAACTGGCCTTACTTTGCATTTCTTTGGTTATTGAGGCTGAGCATTTTTTCATGTATCTGTTGGCTGCTGGTATGTCATCTTTTGAGAAGTGTCATATCTTTTGCCCACTTTGTAATGGGGCTGTTTGTTTTTTTCCTTTTTGGCACATTTGAGTTCATTGTAGATCCTGGATGGTAGGCCTGTATCAGACATACAATTGGCAGATATTTTTTCCCAGTCTGTGTGTTGTCTTCTTGCTCTCTTGATGGTTTCTTTGGCTTTGCAGAAACTTGTCAGTTTGATGAGGTCCCACTTGTCTATCTTATCTCTTACGGCATGGATACTTTGGGTTTTGATCAGGAATTGGTTGCCAGTTCCAATTTCCATAAGGGTGTCTCCTGCATTTTCTAAGGTTCTTATAATTTGAGGTTTTATGTTTAGCTCTTTGATCCATTTAGAGTTTATTTTTGTGTGTGATGATAGGTAGGGGTCTTGTTTTAATCTTCTGCATGTGACCAGCCAGTTTTCCCAGGAACATTTACTGTATAGGTTCTCCCTTCCTCAGTGGTTGTTGGTAGAGGCTTTGTCGAAGATGAGTTGGTTGAGAAATTGAGATTTTGCTTCTGGAGTCTGTCCTGTTCCATTGGTCTATATGCCTGTTCTTGTACCAGTAACAGGCTGTTTTGATTTTTGTAGCCTTATAATAAAGCTTAAAGTCTGGGACTGTGATGCCTCCCACTTTTTTTTTTTTTGCTGAGGATTGTTTTGGCTATTCATGGTCATTTATGTTTCCATATGAATTCCTGTATCATTGTTTCCAGATCTGAGAAGAATGCTGCTGATAATTTAAAGGGGATTGCATTAAATCTGTAGATTGCCTTGTGTGAGATGGACATCTTAACAAGATGATTCTTCTAATCCATGAGCATGGAATATTTCTCCATTTGTTTGTGTCTTCTTTGATTTCTTTGGAAGCTCCAGAACTTTAAGGGACATATTTGTCTTACCTACAATATACTTGATGCCTAGCACAGTACTGGGTACACAGAAGATGCCTAGTAATAGCTGTTGAATGAATAAATTTGTATCCCAATTATACTGGTTTATTATTATTATTATTATTATTGTAGAGACGAGGTCTCATCAAGTTACCCAGGCTGGTCTCAAACCCCTGGGCTCAGGCAATCCTCTCACCTCCACCTCCCAAAAGTGCTGGGATTACAGGCATGAGCCACCATGCCCAGCCTGTATTTATTGTTAATAGCAATGCCATGTTTGCACTACTGCTCAAAATATGCACAATCAGGTTTGGATTTCGCTAACTTTCTAACTTAAGGGCTTCTAGTTTAGTTTTTAAATACACTTCAAATTAACACAGATTTGAGCTTAGATTAAAAACTTAGTATTTACTCACTGCCATTCAATAATTTTAGAAAATACCGTCTAACACATCTCTCGATTTGCTTTCCAGATTGCGGAACATACGTTATGGTTTTAATACTATCCTGGTGATTCTCATCTGGCGCATTTTTATTGCAAGATCACAAATGGCAAGAAACATCTGGTACTTTGTGGTTAGTCTGTGTTACAAGTTTCTGTCATACTTCCGAGCATCCAGCACTATGAGATACTGAAGACCAAGAATTTAGCATTAGAACATCTATGCATATGGTGGTCTAAATGCACAAAATGTAAAATGTACTTAAATCATCTCACCTTTTGTCAAGACATTAAACCATCTTAGGTCAGAGTGTGAAGTAAATTATGGTACATTTTATGTAACATTTTAATGTCTATGCTCATAAAACCTAGTGAACACGCTGTGGTATGCCAGCTCAAATCTACGATAGCCACCAAAACCATGACTTAACATTTTGATCCCTCGAAGAAAGGGGTGGGGTGAGGGCAGGAGTGGGAAAATAGGAACACTGACCAGTATAACTGTGCAATTCTGGAATATATTAATTAAAATATGCCTTAACATATAGTGAATTTCTAATTCTAATATTCAGTGCGATGGAAAGCATTTATTTGGACAGGAATACTAGCTAAGTTAGTAGATAGTTGATTCTTCAGTGTGTAATTTTTTTATCAGTTGAAGTGAGTTTTAATTGTGTTAAAATTAACCAAACCATTTCTACATTATCCTGTTAAGTGATTGAGTGGTATCAAACATGAAAGACATGTTCTCATTTTTTCTAATTAAACATCAGATACATATCATTTTTCTATAAGCAGTCAGTTGCTTTTATAATCAGAAGGCTATATCTTATTCTAAAGACCCTATTGGATCTAAGTGGGTTTGAGAATCCATATCAACATATACTATGCGTTTTTTGAAAAAACTGAAAATAAATTCAGTAAAACTGTTAGTATCAAAAAGAATAGGAATACATTTTTCTTGTCCATATTATGATTAAACAGAAATCAATCCTGTGAGACTGTGCTCATGTTTAGAAGCAGGAGGATTTCTTGAGACTGTCAGAGGTGAGAGTTGGGAAGGACTCACCGTACTCGTGTTCTCCTCCCTTTATAAATTTTATTCATAGGACTTTTAAAAGACTGTACTATCTTTCCAGTGAAAACTGAAAGTGCATTATTGTGGAAGAATGTATTTGCAGGTAGTCATTAAGAAAAATGTTCTCATGTGTAGACACATACTAATTTTGACCTTGACAGCTGAATTCCTTCAAGAAAAATAAAACAATGCATAAGATAATGTGTATAAAATTAAATAAAGGAGTTTATTTACATACCACATAAAGTAGCAAACTGTTGAATGAGTTTGAAGATGTCCTTTATTTTTTTCTGCATGTGGTTTTAACTTTAGAAAGAAATGCTTTATAGAAACAAGTAATAGCAAGCAAATTGATGTATATTTTAATGATACATTATAATTCCCTTTAAATCTTAATAGTAGTTAATTCTACTTACTGTTTTAACATACATTTGGTTTAACAGATTGTTCAGCATAACACTGTTCTAATTAAGCTGATCAGGTTGTACTATATTAAATCATCAGCATTGTATCTGGGAATGTTTAAAGAGGACAGTTCACAATACAATGTTACATGGAACTTTACATCTTAATTTTCTTTGTCAATTTAAATGCGCAATGTATAAGAAGTTTATTTTGCTATTGTGAAAAAACTAAATGTAAAGGAAATCACTTTCTTCCATGCAGGTGTATAATCTTGAAAAGGAAAAATGCTTCCATGTTGAAGCCAAATTTTCTGTGGTAAAACTTTTAAACATTATTTTAAGAAAAATATGTATATAAATATTCTTTGGAATGATACTAAAGTCTCTGGTCTAGGACCATCCCTTATATAAGGTGTGAGAGACCATGACAGTGTCTAAAAATGGAATAAATGATGATGCCTTTGATTTAAAGTGGCCCATGTAATATACATCAAGTACTCCATCTCTTCACATACATTGCCTTGTGTGTTGAAAACATGCTAGCATTTGTATGGTTTTTATACATCTGCCAAATATACTTAGAATCAGTTGAATTGTCTTTATGTCTTATAAAGGAGTTTGGGGTACAACTTGGGCAGGCCTGTGAAGTGCATAGGGAGTGTATGTCTTCTGAATGGTTGTATTGATCTATAATCTAACCTAAACGCTAACTGGGAGGGTGCTGAGGCCACTTCATTAATTTTATGTGTTTGTTTAGAATTCTGATGTCAAAGGAAAGCTAATGAACAAATTAACTAAATAAATCTGTCATTCTGGAATTTGAAGTTCTAAAATTAGTATGAAGAATATATAGATTGTTAATCCCCACCAACTAGACTCCAAACTTAAGTCATCAAGATTTTGAAAATCATTTGTGTCGTTAACTACACATGATTTTTAGTTCTGTTTGATTATGTTTTCTACACAAACTCATTATTTAACAGGATAGCCTACTAAATAAGTTTTATATTTCATCTAGCTCATTTGATAAAGCTGTATCCTGAAACATTTGAGTTTTTCCCCCCGTTCTTAACCCTGGCATATACATTTGTAGATTTTGATGCCAATTTGACTTGGCAACATTAGTATGTCCTAAAACTCAATGGAGAGAGGCATGGCAGTGTGTTCTTTGACTTAAGAATGGTGTATAGTAATCATTCTTGGAATCTGTATAATAAAGTTGGAAGCAGGGAAGAAGAAAAAAATCTAATTCTTCCCTCTTTTTTGTGTTTGTCTGTAGGAACTGATTAGGAATTTTTCGTTTTGTGGTTTTTTTCGTTTGTTTTAAATGTAAATTGATAATCTTTTATAAGAAGTAAATAGAAGCATTATTGGGTGCCTTTGTTTGTAAACCAAAAAGTAATAAATGAATCCCTATATTTCCATTATAGTATTTATTGTATTTTTATGTTGTGGAAATTATCTATGAGCTAATGTGGTTGGTCAGGATTACAGGAAACATCCTTACACTTCTTGTTTGTTTTAGGTGCACTCATTAATTATTGTATTCTAATTTCATGTAATCTGAGTCACACACACAGCATTTTAAGGGAAGCATACAGGCAGGATGAACACCTTTTGTTAAAGTAACATTTTTATGTATTAGCTGGAATGAGCCAGGTTTTTTTCTGTTTTCCAAAAATAGTACCAAGAGATCACTAGTATGTTGTTGGGCTCCAGCTGCTCTCCTCCACATTGAATGATATCCTGTTAAACTGTAGGTACATTTGTAGTAATGTATATGTCTATTAAGTATAAGGGATCATTCACTAGTAATAGAAATTAGCTGAACCCTTTTTGTGGGGAGAGCATCAGGCCGGGTGCAGGTTAAGTGTAAATGGCCTTCTGAGCATGTGCTTCTGGGCTGACTCCCAGCCCTCACTTGAAACCATTAGCACTGACTTGCTCTGTTTTGAGAAAAACTTTCTAACCTTTTGCATGAGAAACCAGAAAAAGGAATGTGTGCCACGTAACATAATTACAGAAATGAGTTCATTAAATTAACAGTCTGTGATAAAAGATATATGAAATATTTTCTTATTGAATTAATATTTTTTGTCTTGAAGCATTTTCTAGTGATAGAATGTATTTGTCTTTTTTCATAGTGGTGCCCTCGTAGCATACATCTTTGCTACCCTTAAACGTTCTAAACAAACTTTCTTTGTCAGTTAAGTGTAGTTGTGCAAAACTGTTAAATAATTTCTTTGACTTTTTCTTTATTAAAGAAAATTTTGAGTAACATTAAGTTTGATGTGCTTCTTTGCAAGTTGATGTCTCTAAAATACATTTATTTAGAAAAACACAAAGTGAAAACACCTATTACATATCTATTCCAAATAGAGTCAATTTAAGAGAAAAAAGTGCTGGTATCGTGTCACTATGTTTTTTGAGAATATAAACCACACCAGTGTTTAAACAACCAGTCTCTTTGTTTTTCAATTTTCTGTTCTCAAAGTGCAATCCCAGACCAGCAGAGTCAGCAAGGGCATCATGTGGGAACTCATTGGAAGTGTAAATTTCGGACCCCACCCCAGACCTACTGAGTCAGAAACTTGAGGGTGGGGCCCAGCAGCGTGTTTGAACATGCCCTCCAGTGACTGTGATGCACACTAAGGCTGGAGAACCACTGGTCTCTACAGTTAGTCCTGGAAATGCCAACAAGGTCTAAGGAGAGTGCTTTCCTAGGATTTGGAGACAAAGTCAAGTAAGCACTATGTAAGACTAAGATTCAATATGTAAAGCATGATACAAAACATGGCAATACATAGAAAAAGATCTGGACTGGCAGGAATAATGCCAAAATACATATTAAAGTAGTTGGTGCTATGTGCTGGAGTTATGGGTGATCTAGTTTTTAGCCCATAAGTCTTTTATATCTTCTACCTTGCCTGTGATGAACCTGGTTTTTTTTGTTTGTTATGTTTTATTTTGAGTCAGAGTCTCACTGTCACCTAGCCTGGAGTGCAGTGGCACAATCACAGCTACTGCAGTCTCCACCTGCTGGGCTCAGGTGATCCTTCTGCCTTAACCTTCTGAGTAACTGGGACTATAGGCACACGCTACCACACCTGGCTAATTCTTTGATTTATTGTAGAGACAAGGTCCCATGCTGCCCGGGCAGGTCCTGAACTCTTGGGCTCAGGCAATCCTCTTGCCTTGGCCTGTAAAGTGCTGGGATTATAGGCGTGAGCCACCGCACCCGGCCTCTGAATGGTTTTTAACCAAAGCAAAATTGTTTTAAAGTCACTTAGGGATGAGGATAACTTGAATCTATAAAGTATAAAATGTGTCTTTTTCTCCAATAAAGTATCCTTTCATTCTGGATTTTTTAGTTTGAGATAGAATTTTGTCTTGTGAGTAGGGTATAACAATTTACTAGGCTGCCATAGCCCTTGAAATTGTCTAGGTCTTTTTTGTTATGTTTTAGGGGTTCTTGGTCAGTATTTCCGTGCTTACCAGTTTCTGATTCGGTCTTTCTCTGATGACCTCGTCAACCCTGAGTATATGTCTTACAGAGATATAACTGTGCAGCCACGCAATCACTTATCTGGCTAGCTTAGGTCTCCTTTGTAATTCCCATTATAATTCTACAGTGGCATTCTTGTTTGTAAATCATTTTGTGAGTTTATAGAGAATCGGCTTCCATGGAGACTGCTCAACTTATGGTAGACTAAGAAGCTGAGTTCTAGAGCCCGTGTTATAAATGTTAATACCACCAGAACCTCTAACTACCGTAGCGTGGCACAAACAGCTAGGAGTATTGCTCAATTTCCCATGTCCTACTAGAGGAACTCTGAAATAATCGGAGTTGTTTAGCCTTAACCTCAGTGAAACAGATCTTAACCTATTCTATTAGGCTGAAAATGCCTCTTTACATTGTTTCCTGTATTGGATCTGTGAGTCCTCCGAGAGGACAGGGCCTATTTTTTAAGGTACCTGACACCCAAAAGTTACTCAATGGTACATTTCAGCTTAACTGGTAGAATGAAGTTTGACCTTCCTTCTACCAGTCACAGGATTGTTAAGCTTCCTGCTTATATAATACATAAGATTTTGCAACCAAGAAGACTTTGCCAAGAGAGGTATAAATGTTAATACCACCAGCTTCTTTTTTTGTTGTTGGTGACCTGGAGATCCCAACAAAACATATACTGTACATGCCCCAGGTTAGAAACTCCACAGTAGGCAAGCATTACCACTTAATAGCATTGATTCACTGTTATTCACTAATTCAAGGTCGCATTAAATGCTGTCATCTAAATTTCTAACATCATAATGTACTAACTGATGCCTGTATACCTCCAGTGTTCCTATGAAAATGTTTAGCCAAAGAAATCCAGTAGTCTACATGGAAGGTCAGCTTGATTCCTGGAGTGCAGGTAAGCCTATGACTGCTTAGCTCAGTCTTCTAAAGTGGTCGGGAGGGTGGGCTGTGCATGTGACACCTGACAGAGCACTCTAGAATGGTCCGATGGAAGAACTTGACCTGCCTACATCATCTCCCTTCTCCCAGAATGCATCTCATAGGCTTGGGGCAATTTTTAAAGTTTCTCCCCTTTTGGTATAAGAGATAGTACTCAAGGCACTGTAAGAACTGTCCACCCTGCTCGAACATCTGCTAAGTTTCAACCCTCAATTTCCTCATTGTATAGCTCAGTATTGTTCTAACTCATACCATGTTATAAGCATCCTTCTATCTCTCCTGTATTGTCAGATACACGTTGCCTGCAAGCACATTGTATACATTCATACTCTTAGTTTAACCACTAGATTCTACGTCATCACAGAGCACATGGTCAGTTCTTAAGGAAATGTCAGTACTTGGGTCCTGGAGTAGCCAGAGATCCTTCTTGGCACACATTTTAGTACAATCTCAGAAAGACACACAAAACTATCCATTAGGAGGAAAATGGTGGAGCCCCTTAAAGCAGAAAGGAAATCCTTTTTTCTCTTAATGGAAAAAAAAATTGCAAGGGAAAAATGTTAACTGAGGCATTCTAAAACTCCAGTTCTGGGACTTTTTCACAAAGCCCAGGTGTAGTATATAAACCTAGCCTCGTCTCTGAAAGCTACTTACTGCTTGTTTGCCCGGGTCCCATTGCTACTCTGCTTCTTGTCACATAGTCTCTTGACTGGTCCTCTATCTGTTATCACCTTTCCCATCTCCCATTTGTTGTCAGGATTAGATGGCATTCTTCCAGGGGATTGAGTTGATTCCTCTAGTAGACTGGGTTCCTGTAAGGCATACACACAGGAAGGATTTGCCACTTTTGGAAATAACCGAGCAATTACAGATTGGTGTTGGAAGAGATTCTTTTTTTTTTTTTTTTTGGAGTCTCACTGTTGCCCAGGCTGCAGTGCAGTGGCACACTCAGGGCCACCCCAGTGTCGACCTGCTGGGCTCCGGTGATTCTTCCGCCTCAGCCTTCCAAATAGCTGGAAATACAGACACACACTACTACACCCGGCTAATTTTTGATTTATTGTAGAGACAAGGTCTCACCAAGTTGCCCAGGTTGGTCTTGAACCCATGGGCTCAGGTAGTCCACTCACGTCAGCCTCCCAAGGTGCTGGGATTACAGGCTAAGTCACCGAGCCCAGCCAAAAGAGATTCTTAAAGAGCATTGAATATCTGTTGCTCATTTGCTAACCAGACTCCAGTTTTATCCTGACCCTTCTTATATGCATAGATCCTATTCTTTATTTGTAGTCTTATTTATTTGCTAGGTAGCAAATAAAAGTTGCTATCAGAGAAAGAATATGGAGGGGTGGTGGAGGGAAAATGATTGACATAAATTAATAGTAAAAAAGCAGATTTATCAAGTATTCTGTTTATTTAATTTTTTAAGTTGGATGATTTCTCTGAGCTCACACTCATCACATTATTACTAGGGTTCTTGAATCAGGTCATAAATTCGTAAGGCCCCAACTGACAGTGCCATCACTCCTTGGGTGATGCAGATTACTGTGCAACCTACAAGCCATCACAAGCCCAGGGTTAGCTGGCTAACCCTCAGACCTGGATCAAAATTACCAGGTTAACTTTAAACATAGAGGTTCTTGGGACTGATCCCTAGTGTTTCTGCTTCGTTAGTGTTAGAAACCCGGGGATCTGAATTTTAAAAATTCTCTCCCACTGACTGTGAGATAACTCAGGTTTGATTTTCCCTGCCCTAAACCAGTGGTATGCAGCAGGATCATCTAAGGAGCTTCTTAGATGTCGAGGTATTTGGACCCCACCCCAGGGGCCTTTTATCCCAGAAATCTAGGACAAGGATCTGGCATTTATGACAATGCTTGTGGGTGATTTCACGTACTTGGGGCATTCAAGAACCACCCGAACCTTCTCAAGAAATGTTTTACCACTCTTGGGGAAGAAGTTCCAGCCTTCTTTCCAAATAAGACAAAAGCAGATGACAGCAGTGTGCTAAATTGCAGTTCTGTGGCATTTTTCAGCAAATTCTACTGCCATCTCAAAATGAATATTCTGTTGTTTTTGTAGATGAATACACCATATTTGCATCTCTAGCATCCTATTCCATGGCAACTGCACTGCAAAAATACCTGGTCTACTTCTAAAATTTAAAAACTACTGTGATAGCAAAATGATAAGGACAGAGAAGCAAAACTGTCTGTATAGTGGAAAGAGCATTAGTTAAGTAGGAATTCACCACCATTTACTGGCTGTGTGGTCATGAGACATTTAACCTGTCAACCTCAGTTTCCACATCTCTAAAATACCTCCTTGGGTAGGTGGTTGTAAGGATTAAATAAATATAAGGTGTGTGGTACATCATTAAGTGTTCAGTAACGATTCCCTCAGAATCACCAAAAAAGTTCCAAACTATGAGAGGAATTGTGTTAGAATTCTATTAATGCAACCTAGTTTATATTCTCTACTTTCATACTATTTCCCATTTCTGACATTTTATTTCTATCATATTTTCTTTTTTTGTCTTTGAGGAAAACAAATTCTGAACATTTTGCGTAAAAATATGAAAAATGTGTTATCTTTTCTCCTTGTGATGTTAGTATCTCTAATTGAGTAGCTTTTTCCATTGTGGCCTTTCTAAAACCAACAGTTCTTTCCTGCTGGGTTAGAGTCAGGCTCCTTCCAGTCTTCCCCACCCTAGGGCAACATTTTTTAGAGTTAGCTGGTTCCCAAATCACCCATCCCCACAGGTTTCTTGTTAGCCACACCTTGAGAAAACTTACCCTCTTTCCCACTTTCAGTGACCTATAGTC